CAAAGGACAGTACATTATTTATATTTACAAAAAGGCTGACACACAAACTGACCATATGACAGAAGTGAGACGTACAACAGGTGATTAGTACACTAGTATGAATAGCTTTCCCACCCTGTAGACAATGCACGGTATGTACCGTGCATGATAGAAAATGCACTCTCAACCATGGTGTTCATATACTACTACAAAACTACAAATCCTAGAGTCATGCACACGCATGTTCTCACTTTCTTTTCTTTTTTTCAGGCGTCTTTTATCGACTCATACTGTAGCATCGAGTGATATAATTATAATGAGTACACAACCAATCTCTGCATAGTTAGAATGAGCATAGTCAACGCTAACGCCCACCCACGAGAAGCAAAGATCATGACTATTGCATCTTGGCGAAGATCTTGTCAAGGTGGAACAGGTGCTTGCGTACGCGGTACACGTGCAGCGTGTACATGGCCGCAGCGCAGGTCACCAGCAAGAAGGAGAGCGCGATGAGCTCGCCGAAATCCTGTAATAATTTGGTTGCACACGGAGATCATCATCACCATTCACCAAAGTCATACTCGTCTCGCCGTTTGGCAACACAACTGACCGAAACAAAAGACACGAGTGAACCGCGTGCGTACCTTGGGGTCGGAGATGATGATGCCCATGACGTAGGTGAGCAGGTCGAACACGGACTGCAGCGAGCTCTGGACGCCTCCGACGGCGCACCGGTCCGCGTCGGGCACGCCGTCCTGCATCAACTGCGTGACGGCCAGGTCGAACATCCAGAGGCCGAGGCGCGAGGCGGCGACGCCGGCCATGAGCACCCACGCCGACGCCACGCGGCCGCCCACCCAGACGGAGCCGACGCAGAGCAGCAGGCAGCACCACTGCGTCCAGATGGACCAGAGCCCCGTCCGGAGCGTGGACAGCCGCGCGTGCGCGGCCGGGTACACCACCGTCGCCGCGATGCCCACCATGGCGCTGAACCCCCGGGCCAGGCTGGTCACGTACGCCGGGATGCCCTCCCAGTCCAGCGTCGCCGTCATCAGCGTGCCAAAGCTGCAGCAGCAACGGAAACAAGATCAAGGTCCAATAAATTGTACCAAGTTATTGCTGAATCCGTGCATCAAATTGGGTAAAAAAACTCATCATGCAGCTTAATGAATTGCCTTAGCACGGAGAAGTAGAGTATGGCGAGAGCAACACCCGGCAGCACCACCTCCTGCCTCGCGTACACGGCCCAGGACTCCCAGCAGGGCAGGACGGAGAGCCGCGCCGTCAGTCTCTCGCTCCAATCTGACGACGCGTCCTGGGAGTAACCCTGCACCGCCTCGTCGGCCTCCGGCGCCGAGGCCGCCGCGTCCCTTGCCAGGCTGTTGGCGCCGAGAGCGGGCACGCTGTTGTACACCGACACGAAGAGCCAGTACACCAGCCACACCGAGGCGACGTTCCACAGCGCCAGCGCCACCGCAGAGGCCTGCGTGGACACGAAGCTGATCACGAACCCCGACAGCACCGGCGCCAGAAGCTTGCAGCTCAGGTCGATCCTCCGGATCGCCGAGTTGGTTCGGGTCAGCACCGCCGGCGGATGCCCGCCGCACATCACCACCACCCTGCATGCATCGTCGCGGCCATCAAGTTCTAACAACAACACGTACGTACAACTAATACAGTTAGGCCCTCTTTGATTCATAGGATTCTCAAAACGCGGGAATAAGAAAAATAAAGAATTGGAATGGCATGCCCACTTGAATCTTATAGGATTAGCACAGAGTGTTTGATGACATAGAAAAAACAAAGGAAGTGAGAAAAAAGGTTTGAGTGAATGCTAGATTTCTAATAAAATGTAGTACACATGATTCCGTAGGAGAAATTCCTATATGATTCAATCTTATGAATCAAACGACCAATGAAGGAAAATTTTTTAAGGATTCTAACCCTCCAAAAATTCTATGAAATTCTTTTGAATCAAAGCCCTTAGTTAAGTTGTGGGTGTCGAACGGAATTGTGTACCATTCTCTCTCGATCAGTATGGTTCCGGCGAGAGTCGAGAGCGCCGCGAGCGCGCCTGACACGTTGGTGACCACGACTAGAGCCACGAAGACGGGGAAGCTCGTCACTTTCAGGTCATCGTAGACCAGCAGCGCGGTTACCGAGACTCCAGCAACGATGAAGGATAAGCTTTGAACTAGCAGCCACAGGCCCAAAACCTGCATTTTGCCATGTATATTAAGTCACTGGCGACTGCTAATCATGATTAAGAAATTCCTCTTCGTCAGCCCATCCTTACTGCTCATCCAAGACAGTTCTGTAAAACATTCACATATATATGAGGTATATCAGAGTCACATTTTTACATAATTAGTTTATATCCAAGATAGTTGTTTCATAATACCATTGTTATGATAAGTAATATATTTGAGACAGTTTTTACAATGTGGAGGACTAACTTGTACTCCCTCCATCCCAAATTATTTATCTTAAATTTTTTATTAAGAGGGTGTTTGGATCCAAGAGACTTATTTTAGAGGGTGCTTGGATGCGTTTTAGTCTCATGACTAAAAGTAGTGGGACTAAAACTTGCTAGCCTTATCCATGCTTGAATCCAAATACTAAAGAGACTAAAATTAAGTTAATGAGTATTTATTATTCTCCAAAGCCTCCAATCCAGAACTCGCATGTGTTAAAGGAGAGAAATTAAATGAGGAGAAAGATGACTAATCCACATTTTAGTAGGGGTATCCCTGACTAAAAAAAATTAGTCTCAAGACTAGTTTTAGCCCTTCTTTAGTCAGGGGTGCTTGGAACTTTAGCCTCTTAAAGAGACTATTTTTAGTCAGACTAAAATAAGTCCCTTGGCCCTTCTTTAGTCAGGGGTGCTTGGAACTTTAGCCTCTTAAAGAGACTATTTTTAGTCAGACTAAAATAAGTCCCTTGGATCCAAGCACCCTCCTAGTCTAATTAAAAATAGTCTCTTTAAGAGGCTAAAGTTCCAAGCACCCTGACTAAAGAGGGGCTAAAACTAGTCTTGAGACTAAAATGTTTTAGTCGGGGGTACCCCTACTAAAATGTGGATTAGTCTTCTCTCTCCTCATTTAACTCCTCTCCTTTAACACAGGCGAGTTCTGGATTGAAGGGTTTGGAGGATAATAAATGCTCATTAACTTGATTGTAGTCTTTTTAGTATTTGGATCCAAGCATGAGTAAGGCTAGCAAGTTTTAGTCCCACTACTTTTAGTCATGAGACTAAAACGTATCCAAGCACACTCTAACATAGTTTACATGAAACCTAACATTCTCAATTATTTAGTAATCCCTATTCATGATTGATTTATTACTTGGTTATTAAATATAGTTATTGGGGGCATGACATACATGGGTTATTTGATAAGATGATGATTATGTTGGGGTATTGATATTGTACCGAGCTGCTCTTGCAAGTATATTGTTGTGGTAAACATTGCATAGCTTGGTGCTTGTGGATTTCATGATATGGTTCAGGTTTCCTGCATGCACACAAGGTGTTTGCTGAAATGCATATCAACAAATAGCTCGTTGTTTTGATCGTTTCCGCTGCAATCTACGCTCACATGGGCTGATTCTACGAGGTCCCCCCAAAAAATCGCGTTTACGAGATCTGTTGGGGTAGTTTCTTTTTTCTTGTTTGCCGAAATCCCCTTAAAACAGCTTTTTACACGGGAAAGAGAACTTGTTGAGATGCCCTGTTTCTAGTCATAGGTTCAATGAGCAATTTCTCGTGATCTTCTGGAAACAGAGAGTGAAAGAGAGCGTTGAACAACCTGGAGGTACGTGAGGCTGTCGACGAGGGTGCCGACCATGGGGCCGAAGACGGCGACGGAGGCGGACTCGACGACGCCGTAGACGGCGGCGAAGAGCAGCGAGCCCGGCCAGACGCGGATCATGTACAGCCCCACCGAGAACTCCCACATGCTGCGACGCGACGCGAATGCGATCCAATGAGGGTGGGATGGGATTAATCGCCGAACCGATAAGGGAAAGGCCCGTAGTACGTACCGTGCGCCCCATCTGGCGAGGAAGTGACCGGCGTAGAGGCGGCGGAGGAGGGCCGCGTCCAGGCCGCCGCCGCCGACGCCGTCGAGGAGAGGCACCAGATGGCCGCCGCTCCACGTCTCCGCCAGGGCCTCCATCTATCTACCGAAGCACGGCGGACGGGGCGGGTTCGCCGGAGAATGGCTGGGGATGGGGGGAGCGATCGAGCGGGGTTTTGTTTTTTTGTGGGGTTTGGGGGAGGGCGAGAGTTTGACTTTGACACGGTAGCCAGATGGGCTTTTCTAGGCCTTTGTAGAAGAAATTGCTTCAGACAGAGAGCATGGCACTAGAACACTTTATGGATGTCAGACATGGCTGGCCGTATACTAATGTAGTGTCAAAAACGCTTTTATATTATGGATACCAACCAAAATATATACTGATAATAATTCAAATCATCATTTCAAGTCCTTTTCTAAAAAAACATCATTTCAAGTGATCACGTCATGGAGGAACCAATGGTCAACTCCCCCTGGAACTCATGCAGGATAGGGGGGGACAAGAAAGTGGGAGAATAATAATCCAAACATGGTACAGTTCCTGGGTTTCCAGATGCAGAATCACAAAGCATACAGTCATGCATAAGCATTTTTTTTTATTTTCTTTGTGTGTGTGTATACAGACCTGGATGGCATTAAAATCACAAAATATCTGAGGAACACTAGGAATATAAACCAAATGATGGCTTGGAATTTGGACTTCCAAATGTATGTGCCACCAGAACATTCTTTGGCATGTGGTTCCGGTGAAGGGTGGCATTTCCTTTTTGGTCTTCCATGTACAGGTTTCAGGTAATACAGCTATATCCTGCAGTTCGCCGCTGTAGAATTATGCAGAAAGATGCAAGTTAGTGAACAAGGGCGGTAAAACCTTCCATCCGTCTTTGAGGAATATATAAGGTTGTCTAGACTCTGACGAGCATGAGATATAAGCAGTTCGGTAGATAGAGGGGGGCGGAAACTCACTGCAGTAGACGAACTGGTTGAAATCCAATGTCACTTTCCCTTGCTTGGTTGTGTCAAATGAGCTGAACAAGTTACTGGAAAGCGAGAAAATGTTTCATCAGTAATTGGGAGTAAAATTTAGCACATGGCACTTTGGGAGAGACAAATCACGGAACACAATTCTGCAAAATGTTCCTTGTTATTCAAATGTAAATCAAGTAACCACAGACCAGTCTACAATTAGGTTTTAGTTGCAAAGTAGAAGATGTCCAACAGCTGTGTACTGTGAAACATTGAAAAGCACGTCGGAAACATGTTGTGCGTACCGAGCTGACTGCACAAAGATGCAGATCGATATGAACTCATCCAAACGAACCATCCCCTTCTTGCTCTTGTCGAAGCTCTGAGAATAGACAGGTATGAAATTAGCTAAACAAAATGAAGTAAAGAATAAGAAGCACAAATGCAGCTAGTACTAGCAAAGGGCTCTAGGCTGCGTAACTAGGAAATGGATATGATCGGACGAATGAAGTAAAGAATGCTGAAGTAGCATTTTCTCAAGTTCTGTCATACTGCAAGTTTTTTTTTACAGGGATGTACTGCATATTCTTCATTTTATATTCACTGTTGACTTCAGTTTCCACCTACATTTTCTCAGTTGCATGACCCATTTCAAGCTCAAATATGAAAACCCATGATCATATAACTCATCTTAGTACTTCAACGACCAACACTGGTTTTCTGAACAGCAACAACGGGCGATCGACGAACACTAGTTTTACACCTAGATGCTCCAATTTGCAAGAAAAGGCATCTTAGGATAAATAACATCTCAAGTTTTAAATTTGGACAGGTTCACCCTTCAAATGTATCACTGCAATAGTTAATCACAAGCTCATGATGCCTTCTGGGAGAGCCTCTAAAGCTAGACATGAATAATCCTAGGATAAACCATGCAGTAGCAGTGAAAGTGAAGTACCTCACAGACAGTGTAGAAGGCAGGTGAATCCAACGAGAAACCGAGTTTGATTAGTGCCTGTATAGAACATGGAGGGAATTAAAAAAAAATCCATGTAATGTTGCTCATATGGGACACAGTTGACAGTACATCTCAAAACTAGAGAAATTAACATATCACCTCATACACATCCTCAAGGCTGAGAAATCCACGACCCCTGAAATTAAGGAGAGGATAAGAAAAGTACAAGAATGATATCTGAAAACACACGCACAAACAAACTGAACACCTAAAGTCAAGAAAAATACAAACTGTAACAAAGTTTAGGGTGGCATTTGAACAATTTATGAATGCCGCACATGGCTACAAACTCATGAGACATGATACCTTTCTAGGGTGGAGAAGACACCCTGCACCTGCAAATTGAAAAGGAGCAGTGCATATAAACGATCAAGTCAAACAGGAAGCATGGAAATAGGAATGCATTACAGTGAAGCTCACTCCTCTCAAATGTAGTGTAACATATATTATACAGAATAGCAGGCCAACTTACTTAACAATTCATTTAACCAAACTTCAAATGCCATGGCCACAATACTATCAATTTTTCGACAAGGAAAAACAAATGTGCATGCCAGTGACTAATCCTGAATGCCGAGCAGATCGAAATGGAGACCCCACATACTCCCTCCTTCCATCTATATAGGGCCTAATGTGTTTTTCAAGACCGCCTTTGACTATTCATAAGACTAATAATACATGAAATGTATAATGTGAAAATTATATCATTGGAAGCTCCTTTCACGTACGATTTTGACTGTATGCTTTGTGTAACTTGCATGTCATATATTATCACTATAACACTTGGTCAAAGTTAGCCTCGAAAAATGATTAGGCCCTATATAGATGGAAGGAGGGAGTACCTTCTGAAGGAACTTGTTAAGAGCCAAAAACTCTGCAAAGTACAAAGGGATACAGCAAGCGAGGTCAAAATCAGATCATCTTTCCAAGTGATCACAGCATGGAGTCAATGGTCAACTTTCCCTAGAGTAGCAGAGTTCATGCGGATATGAGCGGCTAACCTTCGAAGCTCATGGTGCCGTTCCGATCGAAGTCATACATCCTGCACAGTACAGTACAGACATCATTGACCCTCCCAATCCCCAAATGAGCTCGAGTCATCGGATAAATTAGACAGAGCGCACAAGCTGAAAGCCCCGGCGGCCAGAGGAGGTGGAGGAGGACCTGATCATCTGCTGCACGACGGAGAGGGGGAAGTCGAGGTTGCCCACGGCGAGCGCGCTCTGGCGGGAGGAGAGCGGATTTCCGGGTTAGTGGTCGAATTCTGGTCGCCGGCACTTCCGAGTAGGGGGGGCGAGGGGATAAGGAGAACCTGGAGCTGAGGAGCCGTGATGTTGCCGGTGCCGGCGGCGTCGACGCGGTCGAACCACTCCCGGAGCACCACCGCGTTCTCCATCTCCGCCTCTCCGGCGACGGACCAGAGCGTTTCCGTGGGGTGGGGCCGTGGGGGGAGGGAGGTGGGAAGCTGGCAGGTTTACGTCTTCGTTAATTTCCGCCTTCGAACCTAGAATACGTAATGCGCGTACATGTACTTCCTCGCTAAATTTATTAAAAAAATTAGCAAAAGGTCCGTGCGTTGCAACGGATGAACAACAAAAACTCACGAAAATTACAATGTCTGACATAAAATGCACTCGTATGAACCGAAATCAGCAGCGCTCGGACATTATTTTGTCAACACAAACAGATGGGGTTACAATGGGTACGAATGATTGAAAATTTTAATCAAGAAAATAAAAGAAGAAAAAAAATATGGAACAAAAACCATCAATCCTGTGCATGTATCCAACTTCGTCGAGATGAAAAGGAAATGTAGAACCAAGCTCGTCAATCGTGTGCAATTGTGCATGTAGATACGGAGAAGCAAACAGATGCATGCAACGGCCATAATCAAGCATTTAATCCTTTTGTAGCTTTCTTGTTAAAAAAATCCTTTTTCTAGCTAATTCCTCCTAAGTTAGTTAACTTCTTTCTTTAATCTCGTTTTTTGCATGGCGAGAATCAAGCCTTGAGTCTCCAGCCCGCGCTTGGGCACCAGCCGTCTCACACACAGGCAATGCGTGTCGTTTGGCCGCTCTTCCCTCCGACCTTATCTTCTCAGCCCCCTCCTCTCACCCTCTCGTCTCTTCCCCACACCTTTCTTCTCCCCATCCCCGATTCCCTTCTTTTCTCAGCACCCGATCCATCGTGCACGCCGCCCGCTACCGGAGCTCCAACGCGCCTCTCCTCCTTCCTCGTTTCTCTCTCCTCTGCCTCTCAGTTCTTTCTCTTTTCCCTTGTCCATGAGAAGGAGCACGCAAGGAGCCTCGCCGCTGCTGCCACCACCACCACGGTTGTCTTCACGCCACCGCCGCCTCCGAGTTCGCCAGCCGCTGCTCAGATCTGCGGGATCCATGTCCCCAAGCCGCCGGTGTCCGTCCTCCGTCCCGGATCTGGCTTGTCCACGCCCTTCGGCCTCCCCTGCGACCAGCGCCGGCACCCTCCCCACTGCCTCGTCTACATGCGTGAGGACAACGATGACAACGCCACCATCGACCGTCTGGGCCGTCCCTTGGCCTTGCTCGCGTGGGCCGCCGCGTGGGCAGGCCAGTCGTCGCCGGCGGGAGCGACAGTGAACGGGACTACTCTTTGCATTCACTCTATCCCGTCTGCATCTCTGTTTTCCTCACCGGACTGACGTTGAATAATACCAAATTACAGGGTGTTATTTGCATAAGCGAAACGTTTTCTCCTATAATCCACTTAAAATAGGATGGCGGGTTTAATTACTGAAAACACAAGGGCTTTTTTGAAAAAATGTGTGACGTACGACCAGAAGCAATGCGCGGTTTATTATTATATACTAGTACAAATGAAGCAATGCGCGGTTTATTATTATACTAGTACAAATGCCCGTGCGTTGCATCGGGCGTAGAACGGTAGAATCTTGCGAAAATCTGCCCCATGTGTCCTTACGCACAATTTCTTATATTCAAATTTGATAAACGTCGATATTAATGTTACATTAATTAGAGGCTGTTAAGTTTGTTTCTTTGGTTCTGCCTATACGAACATAGCAAAGGATACCACTTCAGATATCTACAACAAAATAATTCATTAAAATAATCTGCTCTATTTACAATCAGTATTCTGGTCTTAATTAGCTTGCAAGTAAAATGAAGACCAACCAAATAATTCATTAATTGGATGATATGTAGGAAACTAAGGAAAGCAAAGGGAAAAAAACACTGGCTATCATCTTCTGACTTGTCTTGCTTGTGAAGATCAGACATGTTCTCAGCTAGCATTCTAATATACATCTACAAAATCACGAAGTAAAAGTAGAGAAAAAGATTACACAAAATCTGGCAACCTTATTCAGATAAAGACATGCAACAACAATAAAAAAGGCAATAAAAGATTTTAGTGAACATCTCTAATAACCTGATAAACTGCAGAATGGCACATACCATTCCAAATTCTAATGCTTACATATCAGTCTAGGAAAGAGATAACTATATCATGCAAAAGAAGTGCGTAAAAATGAAACAAATTTAATATCCACATAGTTGCAAATTGTCATTACAACATTGTTAATTGTGTACTTCTATTAATTCAGCGGATAATGGAGACAATCAACAGTGCCAAACTATAACAGGTTTGCTCTAATAACTGCATTACATCAATCGTCTAGCACATTCAGATTGCAGAGAGAGAACAAGCAAATCAAGTAAAAAAAAATAGAAGAGCAGCTGTGGGAGAACTTACAACTATTCTTGCCTCCAGATTTCTTTTCTAGGCTGTTCACATGTGTTCCCTTGATTGCATGGAAGCATGATGGAACATTCAGATATCAAGTTATGGGAAAGCATGAAGAAGGCATGAAGCAATGAGAGGCCTTGTAGGCATGGAGACATGATGGAACATTCAGATATCCCATTGTTTCATAAGCATCCAAAATGGACAGTAAGCTCTTACTGTCAGGCTCGTGTCCTTGTAGGCATGCTGCTTTAACAACACAGCACCATGAAAAATGCAACCCGCCTTGATGAGTACACTATATACCAGTTGCCGATCCATTTGACAAACAACTACCATGTCTTGCACAACTCTTTCAATCTCCTCATGTTCATTTCCTTTTGCAAGTGCAGCAAGCATAACCTGATACAAGGTGTCATCTGGCATATGACCATCCTTCATCATTGTCCGATACAGAGCCATCAGTTTTTGTCTCACCAAACCTTGCAATAATGTCCAGCACAACCAAATAGGCTAAGCGATCAGGTTTGACACCTGACACAACCATACAATCAAATGTCTGCTCCGCCGCTCGTCCCGCTTCCCACCTTTGGCATATGCACATATCAAAGCACTGAAGGTTACCAGGGTTGGCTTTAATCCTGCACCCACCATCTCCTCCAGCACCTTCCCTGCATCAGAAATCATATACACCTTCCCCTGAGAATCAATCAAGATAGTGTAGGTCACAACATCTGGAGTGCGGCCTATGGCTCTCATCTCATCATACAGACCAAGTGCCAAGTCAAGCTTGCCCATCTTCCCATACATATGGATCATGGTATTGTAAGTAATTCCATCATTCCTCAACCCAGCATTGACATATTCCTCACACACCCGCTCCACTGCGTCGACATCTCCTTCCTTCGCAAAAGCATGAGAATTATAGGTAACTGTATCCGGCTTAAAACCCTCGTGTAGCAGCTCCATGAACATCTTCTCAGCCTCCAATGCCATCCCACACCGGCCATGAACTAACACCATGGCATTGTACGTCCACAAGTCTGGCCGACACTCTAAATCAATCATCTCTTGGAACACCGTACCGCCACTGCATCGTCCAGAATGGAACCTTGCGAGCAAGCATTGATCAGGGTGTTGTAAGTGATAACGTCCGGCCTGAGCCAAGCTTGCCGGACTTCACGCCGGGGGGTAAACACCCAAACTTTTGCGCTGTTATTGATCAGAGCGTTGAAGCTGGCCAGGTCGGGCTCGATCCCCTGGCCGTGCATTGCATCAAGCAGCTGCTGAACATCGTCGAAGCGGCCGGAGCGGCCGTACATGTCCATCATGGCGTTAAACACCTGCACGGTGGTGCCCTCCCTAGCGAACTGGAGGAAGACCTCCTCTGCGAGCCCGTCCTGGCGAGCGCGGCCGAGGACCCCGAGAACGAGGCGACGACATGGGGGCCCGGGGCCCGTTGCCGCTCGCAACAAGTCACTCGAAGGCGTCGAGAGCGCGCAACCAGGAGGCCGCGTCCACGACACGCACGACGTAGGCGAGCTCATCGGGGGACACCCACGCGTCGTCGAGCACCTCCGCCACGGGCGCGCCAGGAGGCGGTCCGCTATTCCCGAGACGTGCTCCCGCCCGTCCCGCGCCCGGCGCAGCGCGAGCTTGCTCAGCTTCTTCAGCCTCCCGCGGTGGGCCCGCGCGTCCAGCGGCTTGACGGAGACGGCCGAGGTGCCGGAGGCGGAGGGGCGGCGCTGGCGGTGGGGAAGCGGGGCGCGGGGAGGTGAGGGAAGCGGAGGTGGGGCAAACGGACGGAGGGTTCAGGGAGGGGGTAATCGAAGTCATCGCCGACGCAGCACCGGATCCGACCGGCGCGACAACAGATCGTGCGTCCACCCGGCGGCTGGGATCCGGAGGTGAGGGAGAGAGAGATGAGCTCGTGCTCCCCCTCCCCACGTCCTCCTCCTCCTGGTCCGCCGACGCTGCTGGGGCCCCCGGCCGCCAGCCTGGCTGCGAGCTCCTCCGGTCGCGTCCCCGTGCAGAAAGGCGCAGCGGAAAACCCCGAAAGCGTGGATGCGCTCGCGACACCGGCCAGTAGCCCGCGACCGGCACGGCACCGGATCGACTGCCGCTCGGGGTGGGACGCCTCCTGCCGGAGGCGAGGGAGAGAGGAGAGACCGTGGGTTTCTATTTTTCTTTCTCACTTTAAAAAGGACCGCGGGTTTGATACCGTAAACTGCAGGGGTTTATTTGAAATGTTTTTGATCGAAACGTTGTCCCACTTGATAAAGGACCGCGGGTTGAATACTAAACAATACAGGGACGTTTCTGCAAAGCTGCCGCGACGTACCACCAGAAGTGATCGGTGGTTTATTAGTAGGGAAGATTAGGGGATTAGGGGAAGATATCAAGATTCATAATATAAAATTGATAAAAGATTTTGCAACAAAGGTCTTGCAAAATTTTGCAACAAGAGTCTTGTTGTAGAAAAGATAAAAAATGAAAGAAACTATATGATGGCTCCATCAACAAATCAGACGGCTCCAGGATGCGGATCCCGCCCACACATAACATGTCCACCAAATTTCACATGTAAAATTTATGACCCTACCGGAGGCTTGAAAACACTCCCTTCATTTTATTTAGTATATTTGGCCAAAGTCAAACTTTAACTTTTTAGGAAAAAATATCAACATCTACAATAAAAAAATTATATCATATGAAAATTAATTTCATGATGCATCTAATAATCTTTTCTAGTTTCATGCAAGAAGACTTCTGTTGTAAAATCTTCTCTTCTCTAGTTTCCCGCAACAATACCATTATTGCATAATTTTCTTTTCTCTAATTTCCTGCAACAAGATTCTTGTCGCAAAACCTCCGCCACATCTAATTTTGTGCAATAAGACCCATATCGCAAAGATTATAGCAACATTTTTTGCCACGCCGCGCACTTGCACAGTCATAGTTTGCTGAGGCGTGCGCGTGTTCCAGTAGGCCACGTGTCGGCGGACGTTCCACACTAGATTGGCCGGCCGATCATAATCATTTCCCAAATTTGTTTATAGTCAAATTCACTTCTAAACTAAATATGCATACATACATTAAGAATAAATTTATGGACCCTCTTAGCTAGTGAACGTTCACTGGTTGGCATTTGCGAATGTTTTGGTGACGGTTTTAGTTGTACGAGGGGTGGCACTTTCTTTAGAACAACGATGTCAATTTCTTTACAGAAGGGCGTTTTTCTTCTAAAACTGTCACCGTTTGATCTCGCTTTACAACCAAAACTGATAGAAAAATGCATTCACTTGCCACCCCTTTCCCAGCTGACATTCCCCAGATAACATCACCGTAAATTTTATTCAAACTAAATTTGCACGACCGAAACTATCGCAGGAACTAAATTGTTGAAGTGCCATCCTAAGCTTTCTTATCTATGTTTAGGTACTTTATTTTTTTTCGGTTTTCTCGTCTTCTCTCATTTTTCCTCCTGTTCATTTCTTGCACCTCTCCAACACTTACCCTTTATCTGTTTAAAAAATCCACAAAAATAGTCAAAATATATCTTAGGCAAAACTAACCAATGGAATTCCGATGAGAAATTAGTACTACCTCCGTTTCGGATTATAAGATGTTTTCAATGTTTTCAATATAGACTACATACAGACTAAAAATGAGTGGACAAACATACTAAAACGCGTCTATATAGATCAGATTCAGAAAAAAAGTTAGAACATCTTATAATTCGAAACGGAGGCAGCAACATTTTACCTCACAACAATCATCACAACTGAAGCAGTAGATTGCCATTCCTTTCATTTTTCGCATGTATATAGAAGCAATTGATAAAAACGGAGAGTTCCGTTTTCCCTAAGATCAGCTCACTTTCTTATTGAATTTTTGCAAATGCAACCACATGCTGACAGCACTCTAACTCTAGCACACGTCACTTACATGCCTAGTAAACGGAAGAAATTAAACAAGATAAACCTTACATGTATCTTGTCTACAGCCTACCCTTGATCTTCTGCACAACCAGGAGGGCATCCTCCCAAGGTAAGTTCAGTGACCGACAGAATCGTAGCATTGTGTTCGTATTGGCCATCCTGAACTTCAGGCCATCAAATCTGAGGGCTTCAATGTGCTTACCAGCATTGATGAAAACAGATGGGGTGTTGCTGCTTCACTCTGATTCACCACTACGAAATAACATGGACAGTGGACGATGGTCTGCATCAGTAACATCCGCCGCTGCCCTTGGCAAAGCAGCAGCATCATCGGTGGATGCACACGGTGACTCAGCACTCATGGTGTCCATGATCACTTTTCCGAGAACAAATCGGACCTCGGCAGTAACTCCATCTTCCAGCAACTTATAGTCAATCCCATGTGACCCTCTTCTCTTGTCGTATGAAGTTAGGTCAGAATCAAGGCCGTTAAATATCCCCAACACTCTGCCCTTCTCCCTGGCTGATACAAAAACCTGGGAACAGACCCACGAGAAATCTTAGTATGCATGATGATTATCGACTGACTTGAGAACAAATATACGAGGCAATTAGCAATTTAACTAAACTATATAGCGACTGTTCTGCCACATCCATGCATATTCTCTTGTTAAAACTGGCAGAGATTCAGCAGTGTATTGTGTGCTAACTTAAGTGGCTAGGCAATATTAATTCAAGTGACATCAATAAGAGCCCCAACCACTGTTCTATTTTTCTATTTGCCCAGTAAAACAGAAACGTCTGGAAGTGATAATAAAATGATACCAATATTTGAGAGCACAGAAACAATCTAAATAACTATTTAAATATTAAAATGCAATTAAAAAGCGCTTCATAAAACGCACTGCTGATTCAGCCTGGAAACGGGAAAATAACATAAGTTGCCCCCAGAACAGGAAAACAGAAAATTCAATAAAAAAATGTAAGAACTGCTGGTGTGAAGATGCATGGTTGGGAATTAGGATACGCTAAAGCGGTACTTACAAGTCCTGAAAATTGTGATGCCCCCGGATATCTGACCACTGATTGTTTGAGAGTATTTAAACATGTCAATGTATCAACCGAAGATTTGACTAGTGACACTAGATGTGATGTCCGTTCCATAAGATTATCCACTTTGGCCCCAGAACACCCAAAAGCTTCTGGGACATATGTAACTGGTGCTCCAACATCTTCGTTCAGGAACTCGATGGCACTGTCCCATGTTCCAAAATGCATCAGTGCAGCAAAAGCCTTGATTACCTGGGCATCTTGTGGAGAATTTACCAATGCATTGTGAAATGCCAACAGCGCTAGCCTGTTAAATAATATCAAGTGAATGAAATATCCGGAGCATGAGTGACAAAGAATATTCATATCGAGGACTGAAAATTGGGTCAAGATATGCTACTTGGTTGTCAAATAAAGAAACAGAAAAAACAGTTTGCCTACTCAGAATAATGGGTGCTAGTATAGGCACAAAAGAGGACAACGTAAATGCACGATTTTTTTTCAAAACTATCATGTTTTTTGTAGCAATTTCGGAAACTATAGGACGTAATGCAAAAAAACCAAAACTAGTAGCCCGTCGGCCATTCTTTGGCCGAAGTAGTACTTTTCGGCCACAGCTAGGCCGAAATAGTACTTTTCGGCCACAGCTAGGCCGAAGCAGTACTTTTCGGCCAGAGCTAGGCCGAAGTAGTACTTTTTGGCCCGAGCTAGGCCAAAGTAGTACTTTTCGGCCACACTTAGACCGAAATAGACTTACGTAGACCTACGTAGTTGGTGAGCCAACTCATTCATTATGGTGTCACTACCGGTGAGTTCGTCCCATGGAACTATCCTATTGTCCATCCTGAAATCGGTAGCTAGACTCAGCAGAGTGCTGCTCATCTCAGGGTGAAAAGTACGATCGAATGGATAATGGGACATCTCGACTACACTACACTGGAATGCTTATCCACCTCCGCCTGAAGGGGGTTTTATAGATACAGAGGAGAAAATGGCGGGAAAGAATAACTGCGGTATGGCGGGAAAGGGTTGGCGGGAAGGGATTGGCGGGCAAATAAGGCGGGAAGGGATTGGCGGGAAAATAAGGCGGGAAGGGGTTGGCGGGAAACGGGTGGCGGGAAGGGGTGGGCGGGAAACGGGTGGCAACAAAATACAATTCAGCATGAGCCATGCAACTTCGGCCTAGGGATGACCAAAAAGTGACTTTTCGGCCTAGACTTGACCAAAAAGTCTATTTCGGTCTAAGTGTGGCCGAAAAGTACTACTTTGGCCTAGCTCTGGCCAAAAAGTACTACTTCGGCCTAGCTCTGGCCGAAAAGTACTGCTTCGGCCTAGCTGTGGCCGAAAAGTACTATTTCGGCCTAGCTGTGGCCGAAAAGTAGAAAAGTACTACTTCGGCCAAAGAATGGCCGACGGGCTACTAGTTTTGGTTTTTTTGCATTACGTCCTATAGTTTCCGAAATTGCTACAAAAAACATGATAGTTTTGAAAAAAAATCTAAATGCACACTGACAGTGGTACGGAGTACTGCAGATATTATAGAACTACGTTAAGTATGTAAGTTTCCAGGCTGGCATAAGTAAATCTAAGAAGATGCACTTTGTCTTCTCTACTCATCCAGACTGAAAAGTGAAAACTACTCCCTCCATCTGGGTTTATTGGCCCTCCTTGTATTTAGTGTTGAACTTTGACCATAAAGTTAACTAATAAAATACGTATGAATATATGTCACAAAAATTATATGGTATCTTTTTTTCAATACAAATCTAATGGCATACTTTTTGTAGCATAAATCATATGTTGTGAGTTATATTTAGATGGCCAAAGTTTGTTTGATCCAAAATACTAGGGTGCTTAATAAACTTGGACGGAGGGAATAATACGCCATGATTATGATGATATAGCCTAATAAACTGTATACCAAAATGTAAAGAAGATAAATATGGTGATATAGCAAAACCGTGATTATCTTCTAATGTGAAACCCAGGAATTAAAGTGATGATATTAGTAATATGACATGAGCTGATAACAAATGTTAGAACAACCACCAGATTACGAAAGTACACACCCACCATGCTGATAAAACAGCCCTTAACAGAGCCAGCAAATGTGTATATTAGTTTTACTAGAAATCAGTCAGTAGATTAAGGAACTATAAAAGAACCACTTTAGGTTTGCATCACTCACGGCAGTGCAAGCCTGATCAGCTATACTTTATGCTTGTCTGGTTGGTACTTGGTATATCTAGCACCAGCACTTCCCGAGGAGCATAATTTAATACTAGCAAGTACAAACAAAGGAATGCTGTATGGTTTACTGCCCTTGGTATAACTTGAGTAAACCCATAATCGTAAACACAGTCAAGTCGAGACATGCACTTCAGCACTCAAGGACCCTTACCACAAAGAGCAGTGGCATGGGCGGTCAGCGGAGAAAAACTTGTCAAGATTAGCCAATAGATTCTGCACAAGTGAAATCAACAGCATGAGACAACATATTAAGCCATAATCTTAAAATCCAAATTTCACATGAACTAACGGGAAGGACACCCACATGGCAACAGCAATTTGAAAAGGGAATCAAGTACTGCTGAAATATAATACCAACTTAGAAAGCATCAGAAATAAGCAACATGACAAGTGGTAGTTCTAAAGTATAGAAAGATGTCAAAGTGACAGATACATCATCTAGTTATTGGCAACACTCTGCCAGTGCCATGACGTGTGCACAGGAAAACAGTTCTTTTCACCAAATAACCCAGCAATAAAGAAACTGGGGATGTGCAATAAGTCAATCTAATTAAAAAATAAACCCAGTTGATAGCCCCACAAGCCCGTAACTGCAGATGACTAGAGACCTAATATAGAGTGTTGATGGAAGCATCTTTTGCCAAGGTGAGGAATACCTCAGGACAACGAAGCCAGCCCCATCATTTTGACAGCTATGAATATGTACCCACACTAATAGCAAAGCTAGAGTTAAGTGTGCGCTTAAATTTTGCAATATATTTAGAATCCAACTTTCCACACAACATGGCACATTTCAGTTACTCACCATGAGCATCAGCCCTCTGTCACTAGATTTGCCCTTTAACTGATCTGACAAATATGCTGCCTAAAATTCAAAGAGCATTCAATAGTGAGTAAGCTGGAAGAGAAGTGGTCACGACCAGAAATCTACTTGTCTAGCAACGAGACCGCGTTGCTCAACTTACCTGAAAAGGCAGCAAAATATCGAGAAGTCCATATTTTCTAAGTAATCTAATCGAAGACTCTGCCGCCCCATAAGATAGCATATATTTCATTTCCATAGCCAACCTTGTCTGCAGAATAAATGAGGTCATCAACGTAAAGAGAAAATACACGAGAAAACATATATGTTTGCACATCGCTTTCAGGGAGATAAACCTTGTCGATATCTATGATGGATGGAGAAAGATCACGTATTGCACTAGAAGTTTCGCTGGAAAACTGAAAGCCAAGGCGAGCAGCAACTCTCAAGCCACGCAAAATTCTGGCTGAAAGAAATTAGAATCAAAATTTGTCTTGGATAGATAATAATAATACAAATCAAGGACATTCTTGAACACCAACCAGGATCCTCCTTGAAAGAAACATGGGCAGGAATCACTGTACACACCTGATTGATGATTTTAGGAGTTAAGCAGAAGGAAAAGGGTAAGTAGACGAGGACATGGTTGAATCTGCCTGAGAAGACTCTCACTCACTATTACCTTGTTTTTCCTTAGATCCTTTACTCCATTCACATAATCATAAACTCTGTAATTGAATGGATTAAAGAATAGGCTGCCATACAAGCATTAAACAATGTTAGTAATTTAGCTCCCATGATATTTCACAAAAACTGCATTTGATGAGCATTTGAAGTACAAGACTTCGTACAGAACATATTACCTGTTTACTGTAAAGTCTCTTCTCAATGAATCCTTCCAGCGAAGAATATCCCCCTCATCATGGCCATCTGTCTCTTCTGAGCAGTTTACATTTTCATTTCCTTTCACTTGAGTCGTATTTGTTTTGAAGCTTGAAACCTGTAAGAACAAAAGACGACATAAGCAAACGAGGGTTAGACAACAATGCTCTAAGAACCAGTATCCAAAATGCCAATGTTCCTATGAATAATAAACCTCAAATAATGAACCACGCCATCTAACAAGGCATATTGGAAAGCGTTTGCCAACGATGAAACAACGTGAGAAAACATGTTGTTTAATCTGAAAAGAATCAGAAGCACGTCAATGGGACAATGGTATCATTATTTTTCGAAAAAAGAAACATGAGTGATCTTTGAATGAACTGAAACCTGTTTGAGACTTGCAGTGGTGATCACATCAAAATCTTTAGGTGCCCTTTTGAGTAGCAAATCTCTCACACATCCCCCAACAAGATAAGCTTCAAATCCTGTAAAACAACTTTGTCCTTGAGTACTGCATACATTCTTATGTTTTAGCACAGAGGTGAGTTAATAAGCAAAAAGCATGACATGAATGTGGTGTCCAAGCTCTTAGCTTTGAAACGGGGATAAATAACCAAGCAACTTGTATGCACCTTTTCGTTTCAGCATTTGTAGAACAGTCATACAATTGCGAGGTATAGCGCCCGCGGGGATTCCAACGGCTCTCGAGTCAAAATATTTCCACGACGAAGGATCGATGAATCCTGCACATGAATAACAGTTGATAAAGTCGATTTGCATAGACATACATGGCTTACATTTGTTTGTCAGGATTTACTTGAACATATTTACTCGAAACGAACAACTGGGTGCTTCCCATACACCAAAAACCAGTGCAGAGAGAATGTGATAATAATAAGTACTAGTACAGGAGCTAAACGAGAACAAGCTACCCGTGCAGCTGCACAACAGCTGCGGAAGGCGAGCTGCATAGATGATTTACCTGGCCTTGAAGCGGAGCTGGACCGCCCGTTCCGCAGACGACCGCCGTCTTCCTTCCTCGAGCCGTACTTCCTCATCTGAAGGTAGCAGGGCGATGGATGGGTTAGAGACAGGGCAAAACTTTGCTGAAGTGCGCCGCCGGCGAGGTGCTCGACGGAATGCCAGACGGGCATGGGGGAGGAGGCGGCGTGGTGACTGACCTGGAGGAGACGCGAGGCCGCGGAGCTGAGGCGGGAGAGGAGGGGCGCGGGGGAGGGGAGAGAAGAGAGGTCGGTGCACCGTCGGACCGCCGTCATGACATGGCCTGGGGAGGCAGGCGGGCGGTGGCGGCGCGGAGGGCGTGCTGTGCGGCAGACGGCGGGGAGTCTTTGGCACGCACGGTTGTTGTACCTGGCAACCCAGGCTGAAGCGGGCCGCTCTCAGTGGCCACGGTCCACGGAGAGAGGGGGGCAGGGCGCAGTCGGGCTGACGGCGAACGGCCCATTAAGGCCAGTGAACCAACGAGATGAGCCCAAACTCAACGCAAATGCTATTTCTCGCTCGTTGCGACGTTGCCGGTAGCAATAGGTACTGCGAGGGAAACATGGGGCAGGCAAGGGCATGTTCGGCCAGTTACTAAGGGTGCGTTTGGATCTTAGGCAAGGTCAGCTCCTAGCCTTGCCTCGCAAGAATATTCATTTGGTTAGGAAAATAAAGCTAGCCTCTCGTGTCAATCTAGCTTTTAATTGCCAGAAAAACCTTGCCGAGGGAGGTGAGCCAATTCGGCTCTCTCGCACTGGCAAACACACAATCATGGACATCTTTGACGGTTAACGCTTTAATTTTGCGCCTTTCCAAACACTAAGCCTTGCTTTCGACGACTCTAGCCGGAACAGGCTAGATTAACCTGGCCTAGCTAAGCTAGTTGTGCTAGTAAACCAAACGATTCCTAAGTGGCAAGCGCCAGGGTTGGGAATGGCGAAGCTAAATGCGGATGACGCGATTGTTAAGTAGGCCAACCGAAGTGAGGTGGAAGTGACGAGATGATCAAAACCATTTTTGGTGCTTCTGTAGTGGTATTTGAGGGTGTTACGGATGCAGTGATGCTCAAGGCTTTGGCATGCAAGGGGCAGTATCTCTAGCTGAGGACCTGCATGTAAATACTATTAGTATCACATTCGACTATATGAGAGTCGTTAATGAGTTGCAGGGATCTATCCATCATGGAGCCTATTTGCATGATTCTAAAGGAGACCGGAGATCAAGTTGTAGAGTTTCAACAGTGCACTTTTCGTCATGAATAACGCGGTTGTAATGGGGAACCCCATCGATTACCTATGGGAGCTACTCGCCTACTACTATGCAGTAGGGCGCTATGTTTGGTTTCTTGAGCCTCGAGCTCACTTTCCTATTACCTGAAACATTGAAGTTTAAATAAAGTAGTGTTGTTTTACCATTAAAAAATCGCTTACAGCGTAGTGCTACTCGGTTGATTCAATACTATAGTTGCGCGTGAGTTATTTGGGATTTTTTTTCATTTTTTCTACTGTTTTGCATCGTTTTTCTTCGGGTGTTCACCCATTTTCCTCTTTATTTTATTTCCTTTTTCGGTTTTCTTTCTTTCATTTTCACTGGTTTCTTTAGTTTTTTTCTTTTTACGACACATGTATAATTTTTTATACATATTATATATTTCCTGTATGCACTAGGATTTTTTATAAAAATTTAATATTTTTCAAATACATTATTAATATCTTTTTAAGATATATGTTTTGATATCTATTTTTTCCTACACATTGTAAAGTTTTCTTATACATCTAAAATGATTTAAAAAAATAAGTGTTAAACATTTTTAAAATACATGTTGAAACTTTTTTAGCGACACACATACTTTTTAATCTATACATTTTTTTATATTTGTATAAATATATTTTTACGTGTCAGAAACATGTTTTTGAAACACGTGAACCTTTTTAAAATGTAACATGCTTTTTTTGAATGGGACGAAGCAACAATTTTTGAATTGCATGAACATATTTTTACATAGTAACAAACGTTTCAAAATTTTCACCTACATTTTTTCGGAAAAGTGAAGATTTTTTAATGGCGCATACATTTTTTAATGTACACACGTTTTTAAAACCGTTTGATCTACCATTTTTTACACTGCATGAACTTTTCCTAATGTGCGGCAAACAATTTAAAAGATAAAACTAAATTATTTTTTGACAATACATGTATTTAATATTTTTCAAAATACAATGAGAAGTGAAAAAATGACTGTGACATCAGCATGGTGAGACCACATGGCTACTGGGTCAGCCCACTCCCAGCTCCCTATACGTGAGCTCAAAGCTCTGCAAGACTTGGCTCGGCCTCGAAGGTCCAATGAGCTGAGCCCATGCCCTTAGGCAGGCTCAACAAGGCAAATCAAGACGTGGTGTATTGCTAAAATAACTAATAATTTATGATCAATATTAGTAATTCACACTCACAAATACACTATATAGCCTTGCATCGAGTTGTGGCATAGTTTATCAGGTTTGTTAATTATGTTATTGATGGCCTGCAAGACACACAGGGTTATGTAGCGTCTTTGTGCAAATATTCCAAACGTATTGGTCTTCATGAAAAGCGATTTGAAGTCTTGGTGCGAGTGATTCAGTCGCACACAAATTGTCACGGGTCTTATGTAAATTAATTGTTTTGATATCTACAAGGATTAGCACGGTGTCGAAAGCCAAGTAACTAAGGTTGAAACAAAGCAGCAAATTTATAAACTAAATAACATGAAAGGAAAAAAGGATAGAAAATGAAACACACGCCTTGTCAGGCTCCTCCTTGTCCCCTTTTCCCCTTTAGTGCATGTGTGTTATAGGGCCAGTTCTTTTGGCGGCTTAAAAAATAAGCCGCCTCCTCCCTAGCTTTTGTTATAAGCCCCCTCCCTTATTTATTGGGGCTTCTGAACTAGTTATGAGATTACTAATGTAGAAGCCTCCATGAATTTTGGGAGCGGCTTATTTTTTAAGCTGGGGAGAGGCAGCTTATGTTTTAAGCCGCCCAAAAGAACTGACCCATAGAGTGTAGTTGCAGTCAACATGTCACATGCAGTTGCAACTCATTTATGTGGACATGTGGTTTCCTGGCTCTCTCTAGTAGTTGTGGGGCGCGTTGCATCGCTTGCAGTTGCAGTTGACATGCCCACATCTAGTTGCAATCCAGGGGTATGCAACTGGTCGTTCCTCCTCAGTGACTGCAACAAAGACATTTTAAAACACATTGCAGTTATGTTTTAAACTCAATCGATTGTGTTTTGGCAATCCCTAAAAAGGAAAACAAAGACATTGTTGTCACCGCCCTTCGTCACCAATGGCATAGAAACGAAAAAACACGCAAATATTCACTTCCTCTCCATTATAAGTTGCAGACACTTTGTACCTCTGCAGTTGTGTATATGTGTTACATAGTGTAGTTGCAGTCAATATCAACAATTCAAGGACTCAATCGACATGCAACTATCACGAATGTGTGAGAAACCACTTAAATTGAGAAAACACCCCCTGGAAGTGTGGGAGGAGGGTTTCTACATGAACGTAGAAACAAGGACACAAAAAAGGGAAAAGGAAAAAAGAACAATGAAAAAGGAAGAAGGGAAAATGAAAAATGAAAAATCATCGTATTTTCTATAAATTGCCATATGAATTAGAAGTCGTATAAGAATGACTTGTTTGATCTTGAGTGAAACAATAGTAAAATAGAAATAAACCATCAAACTAAAAAAACAAAGTATAGCTTAACAAACATGAGATTTCTCACACGCCAGAAAAAAAGGGCCAATTGACAAAGAGACCCTCCATCATGCCCAATCCATTGTGGGTCCATGCCCAACACAAAGAAAAAACAAAAATGAAAAAAATAAACAGGTTTGTCACACCGTAATGGGCCGGCATGACACGAGACAACCAACGCTCATGAATCGTAAAGCAATGTAGATCCAACAACTTAAGTGTGTCGACTGAGACTTCCCTAAATATCAATCGACTAATATTTAGCAAGCCCAAACAATAAAAGCAATTTCAACTCTTCACGCTTATTTTCAAAGTTTGCTTCTTTCAAAGCAGTTGATGGAATTTCATCTTCTTCGGTAAGTCATAAAGTTATCTACAAGAAAATATCTCACGCTTTCCTTCTTCTTCTGTAGGTGCCGTCGCCGGACCGCCTTAGAGCATCTACAACCGGACCTCTTAAACCCGCCTCATACGCCAGGGCGGGCCGCCCGGGCACGATTTTTGACCCAGACAGGCTCCTCAAATGGCCCTCAAATGTCCGGGCTGACCGGCACCCCCCATATCCAGCCCAAATATGAGGCGGATATGGTGGCGCCTGGGCGCGTCCGGGCATGCCCGCCACGCCTGTACTTTCACTAGTGTGATCTCCGAACAATGTTGACATAGTTGAATCATATGCATGTTGGGGGACGCAGTAGTTCAAAAAATTTATCTACGATCACGCAAGATCTATCTAGGAGATGCATAGCAACGAGAGGGGAGAGTGTGTCTACATACCCTCGTAGACCGAAAGCGAAAGTGTTTAGTAACGCGATTGATGTAGTCGAACGTCTTCGCGATCCATGTACCGAACATACAGCACCTCTGTCGTGGTTCTAAGTCTGACAGTAGTGTAGGGGGGTAAGTATGGAGAGGCAAGATCTTAGCTGTGGGGAAGTTGTAAGCACGCAAGGTTTACGAGTTCAGGCCCTTCTCGGAGGAAGTAATAGCCCTACGTCTTGGAGCCCGGAGGCGGTCGACTGGATTATATGAATATGGGTTACAGAGGTGCGAACCCTTGTCTCGGAGGAGGGGGTGGCTTATATAGAGTGCGCCAGGACCCCGGCCAGCCCACGTTACAAAGGGTTCAATGTACATTAAGGCAGAGCGTTACTGGTAACGCTAGTAATAAAGTGCTATGATGACCATAAAAGCTATTTAATGGCTGACCATTAGCGTGCGGAGTGACTTCAGGTCTCCTGGCCGTCGAGTGGTTGGATCTTGGTCGAGTGATTGTTTCTTGGTCGAGCGTCTTCGAGTCTGTCGAGTGGAACACCTCCAAGTCGATTGAAAGGTGGTTTCTTCTAGAGATGTCCTTGGCTAGAGCGGTTAGGACAGGCCCATGACCCTACCCTAGGTACATAGCTTCATCATTAGCCCCGAATGGATTGAGGTTTGAGTGGGGAAGGAGTTGAGAACCCCTCCGACTCGTTTTTCATGCCGTGAGCATATCTTGTTCCGGATCAATGGACCTGAGTGATGACAACAAC